GGGTTCTGTTTGGGAAAGAAATCGTTCGCCGGAGTGTAGTTGCTTTGGTGGCGTGGTGTGTGCCAAAATGCGTGGTTGAAGATGCTGTATGAAATTGGCAGCATCGGAGCTCTGATAGTTCCCGCACAATTAGAGGCAGCCACCTTTTGAAGTTACCAATGCAAGCATCTAGACAACTTTCGGCGGAAATGAACAGAAGAAAACATCTCTTATTGAGTTTTGCCGCCTGAAGACTTTTGTCTAATCTCATTATGTCCGCCGTAAAAGGGGATAGTTGTACAGCAAATATCGCTCGCATACCCTTGCTCCATATCCAGGTATTTATTCTACCCCTCATATTGCCTTATCTACACCCATTCCTTGGGCGACCTCACAACGTCTACGAGACGCTGCTCGCGGCTGTTCGGCTCGGGCTCGTGCATGTACTTCCAGCTTGCCGTCAGGGGCAAACTCATCAGGATACTCTCGACTCTTGAGCCAGGGGTGTTCAGACCAAAGGCGGTACCACGGTCGTGAACCAAGTTGAATTCGACGTACTTGCCGCGGCGGATCTGTTGCCAGTCCTTCTCCGCCTCGGTGAAGGGCATGTCCTTGCGCTTATCGAGGATGGGGAGGTAGCCGGGCAGGAAGGACTTGAGGCAGTCCTGAATGAAGGCAAATGTGTTCTCACGGTCCTTCTCGGTCTCGTCGAGGTCGTCGAAAAAAATGCCGCCGACGCCACGGCACTCGCCGCGGTGCTTGTTATAGAAGTACTCGTCACACCACTTCTTGAAGCGCGGGTAGTAGCTCTTGTCGTGAGCGTCGCATGTCTCCTTGATCGTCTTGTGGAAGTGGACTGCGTCCTCGTCGAAAAGGTAGGAGGGCGTCAAGTCGCTGCCGCCGCCGAACCACCAGGCGTTGGAGGTGCCATCGGGATGGGCTGTCTCGAAGTAGCGGTAGTTGAGGTGGACCGTCGGGGCCATGGGGTTCTTGGGGTGCAGAACCATGCTCAGGCCGGCGGCAAAGAAGGGGAGGGCGTCGACGCTGTCATCAAGGTTCTTGTGGTTGGCGCGCATCTTAGCAATTGCGGGCTTGGGTAGGGTGCCGTAGACGACGGACACACCGACGCCACCCTTCTCGAAGACATTGCTGTCCTGCAGCACGCAGGTGATGCCCCCGCCGCCCTCCTTACGAGTCCACTCGTCCTTGCGGAACTTTCCTCCATCAACCTTTTCGAGCTCCTTCACGATGATCTGTTGCTGCTCCTTGATGAACTTCTCCATGCGCAGGCGCATAGGAGACTCCTCGGTGATGTCGGATTCCTTCTTGGTGAGGGCATCGCGCTCGGCCAGGGACGGCGAATCGAGTTGGAAGGGTTCCTGGACGGCCTGCATTTTGGTAGAAGGTGAAGGTTAGCAATTGGTTGTCAAAGTGACGGAAGCACCGGCATGGGTGGGTGGTGCGGAGTGAAGCTGCAGTACCATCTTGTAGGCAAGGGGTGCTGCAGCAGCAAGACCAATTGCTCCAATTAGAAGTCGGGAGAAGGCCGGGTTGGACTGGTGACCCTTGAAATGAGACTTTGCGGATGATGAGACGAGTCTGCGACCCAATTGCGGTTGTTGGAGCTTGGTTGCGGTTGCTGTTGCGAGTCTGGTGCGAGAACTGCCGAGCTGTGCGAGCACCCTCTGCGAATGCCTGATTGACGCCATGATGCGGCCGGACAGAAAATATAAATACAGACAGAGTCCTAAAAGGGAATAGCAAGAAAAGAGTGACTTGGGGTACAGAGTACAGAAAATCGGATGATTATTCCCAGGCAAGAGGCATAAGGCCACCAAGTAGCAATCATGGACTGACTGGAAGTCGTTCGAGCCAGTCAGGCCAGCTGTAAAAGTAAATTCGGCAACTTAATCGTTCCACGTTCTATGGGCGGAACCCCGGTCACGGCAACGGAGGATAAGCAGTGGGACTGGACAGCTCCCGCCTTCGCAGGGCCCAATTGATCCATGGTGAGGTGGGATGAGGTGTCGCATTGCCGCCGAACGCCGGAGGCGCCTTACCGCCTTCCCTCCCGAGTCGCTAGCACGGCTGACCAGTGGGAGAGCTGCCCTGCCAGCCCCAGAGCGACCCTTTCCAGCTTGTCGGGCCGTCAGCTTTCAACGCGTCGCAATGGACGAGTTCCATGGGGTCCAAAGCTGGGGAGCAATACCACATTGATGGCGCAACATATCTGGCAACCACGATCGTATGATAGTTCCATACTGATTCCATCATCCGCTTCTGCGAAAGAGGTTCAATCCTCCTCTGCCTCGTGAGACGAATGGAATGCCCAAGTAGTTAAGCTTAAGGGACTGTCGCCCGGTTCATTCATTCTGTCACCTGCATCGTCGGCTATCGGAGGTCCAGAGCGGGTCTTGCAACCTTGCCTTAGGTAAGTAAGCCCGCCTATCTGCCAGATAAGCAAGGCCGGACGATGTGTACTTATTCGGCCGGCAACTGTCCCCACGTTGCCTCAGTCTGAGTTGAGTGCTACGCCGTCCCCTCGAGAGTCCTCAGTGTCACCTCTTACTGGGGACAAATGACGTCAGGCAGAGTATCGCCGATAAGGAACGGCATGGTGATGCTCCCCGATGACGACCAAGCACTCAAAGCCTTTGGGTGACAGGACAGCAGCAAGCACAGACAAGCAGTGTGCACGTATCAGGAGGTCGTCTCTCCCACGACCCCGTGAGACTCTGCCAAATTTTCAGCAAGTACTCTGCAGCAGAATAGTCACAAATAACTGTGTGCCAGGACCTCTTGTGACTCAGGCCAGATCCAGAAGGTAGGTGTGCCAGCCTGCGTCAAGTGGCTGTGGTCCGTCACTGGTTCCCAGTGGTCACCTGCCCAGCTGACGCTGGACACTGGGCGCTGGACTCTGCCAATCTTGCCCCAGCACCCTGCACGCACCTGCACCAGTTGACTGGCTATGTGAAATCGGTGTCTTGCCCCGCTCCGATAATCCGATAAGGATAACGACGGGACTGATGGGTGCTGCTGAGGCAGTTCGGACCAGTAGGAGGCGTGGAAACCAAGGGGAAAGGGGCGGGGAGCATCTTCCATGCGGCTTAGTCATTCCAAGCCTTCTCTAACCTGGGCCGCGCACCCAGGTATCTTTCCTTGTCAAGCTGCCTAGAGAGGTACATGGAGGCAGCACAGGCAGGTACGCATCCCCGTCGCCTGAGCCACCCGCCTCTTCCTCCAGACCATTCACTCAGTGACCGCCCATTGCATTCCCCGTGTGTCTGACCGACACCCCCAAGGCGGCAACCACCTTTGCTTGCCTTACCTTGTCGTTCCATACCTTACCTTAGCACCTCGTCTGCCTTCGCAAACGACCCCTCGTTACCTGAACTCTCCTTTCTACACACTTCTTCTTCCGCATCTGTCATCATCACTTCTCGCCCAAACATCTCGCCATCTATAACTTGCCTGTCGCCCGCACTCCACCAGCTGCAGACCACTGAGGAATCCACAACTACCCCATCGCCCGTTACCAACACCTTCAACATGCGATCCAAGTTCAAGGACGAGCACCCCTTCGAGAAGCGAAAGGCCGAGGCCGAGCGCATCCGTCAGAAGTATTCTGATCGTATTCCTGTAAGTTGCCTTCGCATCACTGCATCCTCGATTCTTGTTTGCAGTACGGGGCCATCGTCGTCGCCGCCGCCTTCGTCAGCTTCGCGCGTTATCGCTGGTGCCCCACGTTCCCCGACCGTCACCGCCGATCTCCCATCATCCCGTCGTGCACTTTCAAGCTAACCACCATCCTCACCCAGGTTATCTGCGAGAAGGTCGAGAAGTCAGATATCGCCACCATCGACAAGAAGAAGTACCTCGTGCCCGCGGACCTCACCGTCGGACAGTTCGTCTACGTCATCCGCAAGCGCATCAAGCTCTCTCCGGAGAAGGCCATCTTCATCTTCGTTGATGAGGTCCTGCCCCCTACTGCCGCTCTCATGAGCAGCATCTACGAGGAGCACAAGGACGAGGATGGGTACGTGCTCTCCCCTGGGACAGCTGTGATTATTCTCAGCATGCTAATCTGTCTGCAGCTTCCTGTACATCACCTACTCGGGCGAGAACACCTTCGGCGGTTTCGAGACGGCGTGAGCTCCATAACTTCTGACAACATCACCTCAGAATGTTCACGGCGTTTCGGTCTGCTATGGTTCAGCACTTTAGGAATGGTTTTTCTCTCACGGATATCGGGTTCCCCCGCAAGTAGGGGCTTATGAAGAAACGCAGTCACGTTATCGCGCGGGGTCACAGGACGGGGTCAGGTGCGACCCTGGTCGACATCATTGAATCCCTTTCTGCGCGGCTTGGTATCACAACCAAGCGATGAAGGCTTGCGAGGACTTTTGACAAGGAAATGGGGCTTATGAATTATAAGTGGTTTTCCTTAGATCGCATACTCATTTGCCTTCTGCCTATTCTCTCCCTACATTGACGGTGAATTCTATGAGCATTCGTATCGCATAACCTCGTAACACACGTGCTGTCAAATCGGTCTTTCGGGCCGCTTTCTTGTCTATATGTCATCTGAAACTTGGGATATCTTGTAACGCGCAGTTTTTAGACGCCTTGCAGCCGAAGGCGTGTAATCCGACTGAATGCTAGCAAAACGTATAAGCCTACCTGCAGCCCCTGATGGTCAAAGAGCTCGTCTGACCCATGCGGTGATTCACAGAAGCCCGCGAACCCGCCAGCAACTTCGGTCCCGGGATCCATGCATGATGATTCCAAGAAGGATCGGTCGCGGAGACGGACATGTGCAAAAACCCGGGTCTAGAAGAGACCAAAATTTGAGGCAGGTCGGGAGCGGATCGCAAGCTGACGTTTGTATTTATGCAGCCCATCTTTCATCTCAACTATCGCCTCGTAAAAAACTCCTAAAATGTAGCTAAGATACAACGGGTAAATGCATACGAACTCCAGACAGCCCAATAGACCCCAGTAAGAAAGAAGAAGCAGCAGAATCAGTGGCCAAGCATCTGCTGCATGGCGTTGAGACGATAGCTCTCGCTCTTCTCCATCAGCTCCTCGTGCCGACCCTTGGCGGCAACGGCACCCGCCTCCACGACGAAGATGACGTCCGCCTTGCGAACCGTGTGCAGCCTGTGGGCGATGGCGATGACGGTGATGCCGCGGGCCGCGCGCTCCAGGCCCTCCTGCAGCGCCTTCTCGCTCTCGGCGTCGAGCGCGCTCGTGCTCTCGTCCAGGAGCAGCAGGCGGGGCTTCCGTACCAGCGCCCTCGCGATAGCGATGCGCTGCCGCTGGCCACCCGAGAGCTGGGAGCCGTTGGGGCCGCACTCGGTGTCGTAACCATGCGGGAGGGCGACGATGGTTTCGTGAATATTTGCCAGGCGACAGGCCTCGGTTATCTCGGCGTCGGAGGCGTCTTGGCCGGGGCGGGCGCCGAGGGAGACGTTGAACTTTACGGAGCCGTCGAATAGGGCGCTGTCTTGGGGAACGACGGCGATGTCGTCGCGGAAGGAGGTCGTAGTAAATTTTGAGATGTCCTGACCATCTATCTCAACCGTACCGCTTGAGGGAGTGTACATCCGTTGCACGATCGACATGACGGTTGATTTGCCTGAACCTGAGGGACCCACGAGGCCGCAGAACTGTCCTGGTTGGATCGTGAAGCTCATGTTATCGAGGATCTGGACTTCGGGGCGGGCGGGATAGGAAAAGGATACGTTCCTGAGGGTGATGGACACGCCTCCCTTCCCCAGCGACGGGCGTGGCGAGGGGTTGGCGAGGGCTTCAACGTCCTTCTCCTTCCCCTTGGAACATTCGGTCTTGCTTGACGGGTCGGTTTCCGACTTATCCAGATCGAGGAGGCTGAAGATTCTCGAGGCGGCCATGCGAGCGCGCGTCACTTCGGGCGCAAGACTGAACATCTGTCCCCAGAGCTGTGCTCCCACGAGCATCGCGACGAGGATGATCAGGAACTGTGTTTGGGTCGCGCGGCCTTCGACAATCTGCTTTGAGCCCCACCAGTATGCAAACGCATAGATGATGTTGCCTGTGCTGTTTGCGATAGCGAGCCAGATGTTAGCGATGGCGCTGGCCGAGATGATCTCCCTCTTCGGGCCCTTGAGAGCACGCTTGTACTGGCCCAGCACCTCGTGTTCAAGCGACAGGGTGGCCACGGTCTTGATAGAGTTGACGGACTCGACGGTGATACCGACAGCCTGGGCGTACGCGCCAGCATGCTTCTCCTCGAACCGCGAGAGGACCCTGATTTGCATTATTCCTGAGCCGAGGAGAATGGGTAGAATCACGAGGCACACGATTGCAATTCGCCACGCGAGAATATGAGAGTAAATAATTGCGACCAGGAGGTTGACGACCACGGCAAATATCGTGCCCATGATGGATCCACTGAAGCCTCCGATGGCAGCCGCATCTTTCGTGATGACAGATAAGAGGGTTGCAGGGTTGCGATTCTCAGATTGATGCCACTCGAGTTCCTGCTGGAAAAGGGATCGGAAGGAAAGCACCCGGATCCTGTAAAGCAGCTTCTCAGCGAGATATCCAAAGGCGGACCAGCTGGCCAGGTTGGCGAAGAGCTCCACGCAGGCGATCATGAAGAAGAGGCCGGCGTAGAAGGCGCCTTTGCTGGAAATGAAGCTGGGCGTGTTGCAGGGACTCGCTGAGCCGATGGCGTATCCAAAGACTGTTCCAGAACCACTGTATGTGCAGCCCACGATGAAGGCGGCAACAAGAGCGAGAACAAGCCAGAGGATATGGGGACGAACCATGGGTCCGACCTGCCTAATCACTTGCCAGGCTGACTTATTGCTGTCGAGTCCGCTAGCTTGGAGTTCCTCTGCCGCCGTCTTTTTGGGCTTCTCCTTGGTGCCATTTCCTTCGGCTTCTGTGATGGCTTTGGCGAGGTCTGTTGGGTCAACGCTGCCCTTCTCGATTTCAATGGTATTTCTGGAGTCAAGAGACTCAACAGCTGTGCTGGCACGAGATGGGGCTACGTCCTCTTCGGCTGTGTGAATGTTTTGGAGGTTGACTAGGTTGGCGTAGGCTCCGTTACGACTGATAAGATCGGCGTGGGTGCCTTGCTCAACGATGTTTCCGGCATTCATGACGATGATGTTATCGGCATTCTTGATAGTAGACAGGCGATGAGCGATGGAAATCAGGGTGCGACCTTTGGAGACGCTCTCTACGGCCTGTTGAATTCGATGTTCGCTGGCTGAATCCAAGGCTGCGGTCGCTTCATCGAGAATGAGAATCTTAGGATCGCGGATGAGAGCCCGTGCAAGAGCTACTCTCTGTCTCTGACCACCGCTAACCAACTTGCCGCCGGTGCCGACGGGTGTTCCGAAGCCATACCTCAGACGGTCGATGAAGGAAGTTGCGTCGGCAAGATCAGCGGCGTACTGTACGAGCTTGGCGATCTCGACTACCTCGGAGCCATATTCCTGGGCTGCAACGTCGAGCTCGGCTCCTCCTTGCAGATCTTCCGCAAGCTGTTCAAGCTGAGGTCCGTAGAGGGTATCTTTGAGCCATTGGTGTTCCTCCTTTGGAGAGTTGACGAGGCCGAGAGCGATATTTTCGAGAACGGATCGGTCGAGGAGTGATGGTTCTTGCTGGACCAGACTAATATAGCTGCGCACGTTTCTCACGTTCAAATTCTGAATGTCTCGACCATCCAGGAGAACAGTGCCGTCCTTGGGGTCGTACAATCTCGTGGTCAAGCCTGCGATGGTTGACTTGCCACTTCCCGAGAGGCCAACGATGGCGGTGTATTTGCCGCCAGGGCAGACAAGAGATACGTTCTTGAGCACATCTTGATCAGGTCGGGAGGGATAGGCAAAAGTCACGCCGCTCAGTTCGACTGAGCCTTCAATAGTCGAAGGCAGTCTCTCGCCTTCTTCGGTAACAGAGTCGATGGCAGAACGGAATTCAATGTCCTTTCGGAGCTTGACAAATGCCGCAGAGGCCGATCCGAAAAGGGGCAAGAGGGGTGCGATGGTGCCGAGCATGATGCAAGCTGTAGACAGTCAGAATCTGAACAGAAAGAATCTTTCGGAACCACGCACCATCAACAATGAGAAACACGACAGTGTAGATGTCGCCCACCGATGTACCGTCACCTCTTCCAGCGACGGACTCGGAGATGGCCTTGCTTCCTTGCCAGTAGGCAAGAGCGTTGGCAGAGTAGGCCAGGAAGTACAAGAATCCAGCTTGAGTAGCGGCAGCAACAGCCTTCTTGATGCCCTCCTTCTGGGCAACAAGCATATGCGAAGAGAACTTGGCCTCCAGGCGGGGTCCAGCTCCGAAAGCCTGAACGACGGCAACATGGGACAGTGCCTCAGATGCAATGGACGAGGCCTTCGCAATACCATCCGACATAGTTCCTGTCCATCTCTGGACGAGCCCTCCGCAGATGATGGACATGAGCAGGAACGCCGGTATAAGGGAAACCAGCATTCCTGCCAGCTTCGCATACTTGATGAAGCCAATGACATAGGCGGTGATGAAGAACGAAATGGTGGCAATGAAGATTCCGACCTTCTCAGACGTTCCAGTCTGAATGGTTTGGATATCCGAGTTCAAACGCGATGAAACCTCGCCTGCTTGTCGATTCTCAAAGGAACCGGCCTCCTGCCTGAGCAAGCTCTGGAAGTATTTCTCCCGCAAGCGCTGTGCCAGTCTCTGGCTTAGCATGCTCCAAGCCGTGGTATAGCTGTATATCAAGACAAAGGCACCGATGCTGATGTACACGAGCTGCAAGACCTTGTCATCGACAGCGTGCATGTACACGTCGGCATCTCCTATTCCACTGGTACACGTCGCACCGTTCATGTCGTCGATCAGTTGGCCGAATAGAATTCCCATCAAGGGGAAAGGCACGCCGGCAGCAGCGGCCGTGATGCCGCCCACGACGAATAGCGTAATGTCGATCCATGTTGGTTCGGCATAGAATAAGAGGTTGAAGAAGCTGAAGAATGTCTCGAAACGCTAATCGAATGTAAGCTTATCGGTGGACGACGATCACACGTGAAGTTGACTTACGCTTGACCCCGCCTTCTCTGGGGCCTGCTCATGCAGTTGCAGTTGTTGCTCCTCAGTCACGTTGGGTGCGTGGTTGACTGGCTGTTCGGCTGGTGCCGAAGTCGAATTTCGCTCAACAACCATGGTAATGGCAGTGCGGCATCCCACTTGACGACCAGGTCCATCGAGCAAGCGTCTTCATTTGGCTGGGACAGACATGAAGTAGCTTCACCAAAGCATCGGCGCGCGGCCGTTACAGCCACCGTCTCGGCGAACCGGCTCAACATTTGCATCATAGAGGCGTTCTTTTGTCATCAACATCCGCTTTAGAGTGGTCTTTCAGGTGGTTTAGGGTCGACGACAGCGTAACTTGCTCGCCGAGACCCCGCCACGGGGAGTTAAGAAACCCGTCGTCGCGGTAGAGCTGAAGTATCGACCATCGTGGTGCGTATTCTATGGAGTACTGCGTAAGAGGCATGGTGTGTGACAGTGGCCGTCTCTCTTCTTGCTCGTTTAGGGTGTCTCCAGAGCCGTGAGTGCAGTGACATTCGTTACAAGTGCAGCACGTGAAAAGTACCTGTGGGATCCCGGCGAGGGTGCACTGTTTGTGGGCGAGACATGCGGCAGGTAGGTGGCTACACTACGGATACAGTGCCCTGTAGTGTTGGGGAGTTGGGGAGTTGGGGAGTTGGGGAGTTGGGGAGTTGGAAGGCCCGGAGGATGTGGAGCGAGGGACGTGGAGCAGGCGACCAGAGTGGGGCCGATGCCGGAGTGTGGGTGCGGATCTGATAATTTGTCTTGGCAAAGCCCGGTGAATCCCTTCCGGATGAGGTAAGGCGTTCGCCGGTACGATACTGAGGCCCTGGCTCCTCTGCGGATCTTGCTACGAACCTGCCCTGTTCAGCCTTCATTTCTCTCTCACTGTGACATTTCCCTCTGCCTTCCCAAAAATTTTCACCGGCAGGGAAAATGGCGCATTTCGACTTGCTTGCTGCTGCCGCTGTCCGCCCACCCACCGTCACTCCCACCCACACACATTTCACACACCCACTCCAGTCTGATCCATCTCGAATTCGCAGAGGGAGACCATTGGGCGTACGAATACGTGTCGCAATATGGAGTAGTCCCGCGCGCGCCCCAGGACTCCTCCTGACGCACTAGTCCCAACGGCCGGTCAGGTCAGACGGCACCCAAGGAACCCGACATGCAATGAGAAACCAAACTCGAATTCCGACCTTTTGTTCCTCACGCCCACCTCACCTTACTTAGCATTCAACGAACGAACGCCGGGCGCCCACTGAAAACGAGGCGCAGCCCTGGAACGCGTACCTTTGACTTGTCCTCATTAGGTAACGGGTTGATCTTTCCAGCCAGTACGCGTTGAGCCTCGAGCCCTGGAGTCACCGAGTAAAACCGGTCTGTCCCGGCGCTGGGAGTGGCTTGCATGTCTCTGAACGGATCTGATAACTTTAACTCCTCCACCATCTGATAATCTCAAGGCAGGACAAACCACAACCACACACACATCGCCCCTCCATGCTCCAACACGCCAAACCAGACTAAACCAAACCAAAACCCCTCCGGCGGGATGGCCACCACGTCTCCTGTCTCCTGTCTACGTATTTCAGAAACTATTCGGTCCATCACCCCTCTCGGCACCATTGCTACCCATATTAATGATTCTTCGGTACATCGCCAGTGTTGCACTAATAGATACTTAGGATCCCGTTCCCAAAGCCCAAAGTGACTGTCCCAACCCACCCAATCATGCCGTCATCTCCGCTGGCGCTCCCCCTCCTTCTTCGCTGTCCTGCCCGCCGGACGCCCCCTCGATCGCCATGACCCAGCGGATCCAGATTGCCCTTCGCCCTGCCGTCTCGGCTGCAGCGTGCTTCCTCCGAGGAGCTCGTCCTCGGCTGAACCTGCCCTCCAGCCCGTCACCTTCTCCATGGAGGGGTGAATCTGGGTCCTCGTTGGGAGGATATGGTGGGATTTTCTGGGCAACTTTAACCAGTCTCAGTCGTCGTGCCCCTCGCGCAAACCGACCAGGACTCCGTTCCGATCCAGGCCCGCTCGGCTTCCGGCGGACGCTATCTTTATGTTTGCTGCTTTCTAGTATGCACATGTTCCCGTCTGCAACTGCATCTTCGCTCTCTTCACTTGCCTCAACCTGTCTCCCCCATCGCGGCTTTTCCTTTGAGTCGTTCAATACTTGCTCTCGCCGCTCCTTCTCTTCGCTGTCCTCTCCTCCGCTCGACGTAGAATCTTCCTCCCAGTCAGACCCCGCAGCAAAAGACAAGATGGGTTCCCTTCCTACCGTCCCTCCCTTCAAGGTCTTCATCGCCGGCACTTCGTATGCTGGCATGTCCACGGCCCTCAACCTGCTCGACCTCGGCAAGGGCGAGTCCCCCCGCCTCGCTCACTCCCCGTACGAGCACCACGCCGACTTCAAGAACATCCCGCTCGACATCACCATTGCCGATGAGCGTGATGGTTTCTGTAAGAACAAAAACCCCGGCGCGGCCCCTCTTGTCTGACCACCAACTCACCCGTGACCTATTTTCTTAGTCCACTTGATCGGCTCGCCGCTTGCCTTCGCCGACTCTGCCTACGCCGCCAAGTCCTGGGTCAAGTTCCAAGATATCCCTTCTCTGCAGCGCCCCAACGTGCGCTTCGTCCAGGGCAGCGTCAGCAAGGTCGACCCGGCCACCAAGACCGCCACCGTCCTCGACCACGAGACGAAGCAGCCCCAGGACTTCTCCTACGACTTCTTCATCGGCGCCACTGGCCTGCGCCGCGCCTTCCCCGTGGTTCCCCAGTCCCTCACCCGCAAGCAGTTCCTGCTCGAGGCTGAGGAGCAGATCCACGCCGTCCGCAACGCTGCCGATGGCGTCATCGTCGTCGGCGGCGGTGCCGTCGGTATCGAGATGGCCGCCGAGTTGAAGCTCGTTGAGCCCAGCACCAAGGTGACCCTGGTGCACTCCCGCAACCAGCTTCTTTCCTCCGAGGGACTGTCCGACCTGTGCAAGGACAAGGCTCTTGAGCTGACCAAGGAGGCCGGCGTCGAGGTCCTCCTCAACACCCGCGTCAAGGAGACGCGCAAGATCGAGCCCACCGCCAACGGCCGTGCGCGCTACGAGGTTGAGTTCACCAACGGCGACAAGCTCATCGCCAGCGAGGTCGTCATGGCCATCTCCCGCCAGACCCCCTCCACGGACTTCGTTCCCGCCGCCGCCAAGGACGAGGAGGGCTACGTCCCCATCCACCCCAACCTGGTCTTCTCCTCCGACATCCCCAACGCCGAGGACCACATCGCCGTCGGCGACATTGCCAAGTGGCCCGGTATCAAGCGTTGCGGTACCGCCATGCACCACGGCCACGTCGCCGCCATCAACATCCACCAGCTGATGCTGGTCAAGCTCACGAACAAGGAGCACAAGCCCAAGTTCTACGAGCTCGGCTTCGTCGAGCCCATGATCGGTCTCGCTGTCGGCAAGAAGGCTGTTGCCAGCAGCTCTGAGGGCACCACGTGGGGCGAGGACGTCATGCACTCCTACTTCCGTGACGACCTCGGCTTCACCAGTAAGTTCTCCCGGACACCCCTGTCTACTTGATCGCAACGGTACTAACCTTGGCTCTTTTAGTCTGCTGGAACCACATGAAGCTTGGCAAGGCCGACAACTGAATCTGCTCTTTGCTTTGAAAAATTCTCTGGGTATTTGTTGTTGTTTTTTGGGTTACAACGGTGTTCATGGGCGCAATGATGATGACGCAACGTCCATCCGGTAGTTTAGAACAAATTGCCTACCTCTAGACGTAAATGCAATGATCTTTTATGAACTTCAACCAATTTTCTCTCATGTGTGGGGTGTGTGATCTGAATTGGACTAGGCTATGAATCATGTTCCTGCATAGCCAGAAAAAAAAGACATTGTGCTTATCAGATCTTTACTCAAATTATGGAAATAAATTCTACAGCAGAGGTATTCCTGAAAGCTGCTGGCACCTTTTTTACGTACAAACACCCCACTCTACGTCGCGCGTACCTAGATCCACACACACTACTCACTGCTCACTCTCCACTTGGGAGGGACGCTGGTGGACGGGACAAATTTACAACTTGGGAACGAGACCCAGGCGCATGCCGCCGACGACCTTTTCGTTCTCGCCGAGCGGGCACAGCTGGAAGAAGCGCTCGCGCGAGCAGCGGACGAAGGCGCTGCGCTTGTGGGGGAGGTCGACGAACTTGTCGAGGCCGAAGCCGTGCATGAAGTCGTACATGAGGACGGTGTCGTTGGTCTTCTTGGGCTCGCCGACGACCCAGGTAGTGCGCGGGTCGTCGAGGTAGAGGAAGTGCATGAGGGAGGACCACCACGCGCTCACGCGGTGGGGGCCGCGGAAGCGCACGTCGCCGACGAGCGAGTGGCGCCCGCGGTCCCAGTCCTGCGCGTCGTAGTAGCCGCCCAGCTTGTCCTCCTTGGCCCAGTAGACCTCAAAGTAGGCGAAGAAGGTGTCCTCCCACGCCGCGAGGATGGCGAACTGGTGAGGGTCCTCGTCGATCTTGCGCAGATACTCGCGGTGCTGGTCGAGCGTGCCGGTCTCGTTCCAGCCCTGGGAGACGCGGGGGTCGTTCTGCCACTCGTGGAAGAGGCGCAGGTGATCCTCGTTGTGGTAGTCCAGAGCGACCATGGAGAAGGTCTCGCGCAGGTGAGGGATCCAGCGGCTGTACACGGTCGAGCCCGGCGCGGGCTTGGCCGGGCGGATGGGGTGCCAGGCCTGCTGGTAGAGGTTGGGGTTGGCCGGGTCCGAGGCCAGGACGGCGGTCATGGTGTGCTGGAGGGGAGTAAGAGGGTAGGAGGACAGAGGGCGCTCGAGGCTGGCGGGGGACTCGGCGGGCAGCCAGACGGGACGGGGGCCGAAGGGGGAGCCGGCGCCCTGCCAGAAGGCGCTGCGGAGGAGGACGACGGTGGCCTGCTCTTCCGTACCGACAGGCTTCTGGGAGTCGTTCTGGACGGGGTGCTCGATGGCCAGGAGAACATCGCGAAGCTGCTGGCCGAGGACGGCCGCGCCAGCACCACGGAGCTCAAGACGCTGGAGCTCGTCGGCCGGGCGCAGGACCCAGAGGACGTAGACGAGGAGCCATG